TGTGTGTGTGTGTGTGTGTGTGTGTATCCACAGGGACAGTGTTATAAAACTCTGTGTTTGTGTGTCTAACAGCTTTGAAGTGAGTTCAGCACATTGATAATGATACTCCAAACCTAGCAGCACATTGTGTTTCTGCACTGTGTTGTGCACTGTATACACTCACACAACATGTCTTATCCACCATAATGACATCTGATCTATTTAATTACTTTAGTTATAAGTGCATACAGACTTGTGTGGCTGACTACGTTTAGCAACATTATATCATGGCACCTCTGTCTTACCTTGTGTTCAGAGTCAGTTTCCAGCTCAGCCACTGAACCATCCACTGCATCCTCCACAGGTAAAATGACACTTTCTTCCATGTCTTCAGTGTCCGGGCTCTCAAGCACAAGTCCAGAGGCCTCATCCAGGATGTCCTCTAGAGGGGGTAGGAGATCAGAGCCAGTTGAGAATTGTCTTATGAGGTGTGCTATTTCCATCCAAAGGTTTTTTTAAATTTTAAGCAAATTTCTTAAACTAATCACCAGAAGAAAATGCAATCATGGAAATGTGAATTGCATACTTGCTAGCTTATCATTTATTTATTAAAAAATTCTGTTTCAATTGCCTTTATAATGTATTCTCTTATAATGTGCCTTTATAATGTATTCTCTTGTAAGATTTTATTTATTTATTTATTTATTTTGCTTTTAATACCTGGTGTCTCCTTTCCGATTTTCTCATGCACATAACTGAGAGCTCCTCCATTCTCCCAGATATATGAATACTCACACTATCCAACCATTTCTAACATGGTCATGTCACACGCACAAATAAAGCATAAATACGTGATACGTATTATGTTTATTACTTTTAAACTCTATTTTCTATTTGAATTCTTCTTTTGTTTGTATAATTCCTTTTTATGCTGTGCTGTGATTGGCTGCTGTACCCATGCAATTTCCTTTATAGGATTAATTAAAATTAATTAAAGTAAATTATAAAAATTAGGGTAGGTAAGTTATACAAAATACCAAAGGTATGATGGCTGCATGCTTTAAGACGTTGTGTTCCGAGTTTATGTGCATGATCTGTGGTCATCATCATACAGGCTCAAAATAAAAAATAAGCAACACCCCATCCATGATCCATATGATCCAGTTTTTGAGACCAGTATCGTTCATAATCAGGTAATCAGTGATATTCAGCATCATAACTTTACATCCCAAAGCCAGTTGAAATTGTGTTGTGAGTGGGCTGATAACTGTACCTTGGCTCTGGGAGAAGATGTCTGTGTAGAGATCGTGTGGTGTGTCTGAGCGGCGGGGAAGCAGTGGACATCGCTGGCACGGCTCGGATGAGGGCACAGCACTGATGGTGAGTGTGAGAGAAGGCTGAGCAAACGCAGGACTCAGGTCCGACAGCTCTAACACACTCGCCTCTTTATCGTTCAACTGCAGGATCTCATCACCAGCTCTCAGACCTATAGACACATCAGAAGACGTTTAGAAAAACTACAAAGGAATTTGTCATTAAAAAATATTTTTAACAACCTCATGGTACAATTATAAGCAATTTGAAAGATTTATAGAGTGCTCTTTGTGAAAACTTTATTACATGCTAGATAATTATCTATGTGACAGGCACGTGACCCTTGGTGTATGCAAAAAAGAGCTGGAAGTAATGTCGCAGGGACTGAATCATCTTTTTTTGTTCCATATTCTCACAGATCAGTAATTTTTAAACCCTTTATTACACAATAGGAGAAACAAAAAGCTGCCTCTGCTGCACCCTCCAGCTGATTCCCATTCTCTTGATTATCAATTAGCAGCATAAGCGCTGCCCAATTGGCATCCGATTCAGTGCAATTACAGTACCACTCATTACAGTACCACATGACTGCCACTTTAATTGTTTATTGACGCTCATGGTCAGCTCAGAGACAGTCTTCTCTGCAGCCTGGAGCTTGGGATGAGGCTACACAAGGTAGGCAGAATAATGTGCCTGATGTAAAGAAGAGACCTGTTACCAACCCAGAGTTGATTATTTTCCAGCAGCATGTTTTGAAATGTTTTATTCTTTTTAATTTGAGAACAATTCCAATTTTAAAATTAATGAACGACATGCCATACTTTTAACCATTTATATTTACATTTAACATTGGCCATGACACAAGTTAGTTCCTGTTATCATTTATGTTATAGTTATAAACAGTCTTTCCCTCACCAGGCTCTCTTTTTTCCCTGTCTTGAAGCTAATAAGAGGCAGCTTGTCATGTTATCGAGAAAGCAGAAACCACAAAGTGCTCTATCCTGAAGACAGAGGCAGAAAACTTAAAACCGCTTCAAACACTGACATCTGAGACTCCTTCCATTATTTAACATTTAATGTAAAAAAAAAGCTTCACCATATCAATACACATTTTTCTTTGTTAAATAACATCAAATGTTTTAGATCCATTTATTATTCAAGATTATTGCGGAGCATCTGCCATACAAGTCCCTGTGAATGAGCTGTTACTATAGAAACAATAATGTATTAGTCTGAGCGCATTAATTTAAACCTGTGCTTTGTCTCAGAGTCAACACTACTGTCAGAGCTGCTTTTATAGGAAATTAATCAACACCTACTGACCAATCAGAATCGAGAATTTTACAGTGCTATAGTATAAGACATAATAATAAATGCCTTGCATATTATACATCATTCCAGAAATTGGTTTTGTAATTTTATGTAACAGACTAACCATGAAATAATTATAGCCTATGTTTTGTTTTTGTCTATATCATTAGCTATAATGTGCTCATGATAAAGCTGTAAATTAAGCTAGGAAATATGCATTAGCTCTACAGTTAGCTAACTCAGCTCACCATATAATTTCCCATCATTCACTGAATGTCACATAGACATGTAGTTCATACACTGCTCAAAAGTGTAAAAGTGCTTGATTAATAGTGCTTTTAAGGTTTGAACAGCCAATCAGAATAGTTGTAGGTGGGATTACATGTCACTCCCCCATGTGTATAATATATACTCACCATCCACATTATTAGGAACACCTGTACACACAAACCAGCCCATCCGGCACCAACAACCATGCCACAGTTAAAGTCACAGAGATCACATTTTTTCCCCATTCTGATGTTTGATGTGAAAATGAACTGAAGCTCTTGACTTGTATCTGGATGATTTTATGCATTGCACTGCTGCCACATGATCGGCTGATTGGATAACCGCATAAATGAGCAGGTGTATGGGTGTTCCTAATAAAGTGGATGGTGATTGTATGTAATATAATTGTGTATATAATATTTATGCAATGCCTATGAATGTTATGAAGTAAGTCAACTTAAAATAAAAGTGCTACCAAGTAATTTAACTGGCCTTACATTTTTGTAGGTGAACATTTCATTTTCAAGTTGCCTTTCACACACACACACACACACACACACACACACACATAAAGTATAGGCATAGCCTGAAGTGTGACCCAATTGGATGTGAAGCAAACAATCACTAGTGGAGTAATGAAAAAGGTCAGAGCGATGTCATGATAAAGAAGTGCCAGTGTGTCCAAACTGGCCTGGATTAAGAGCACAGCCCCTGGGCAACATGCTACCGTGCTATATCTTCCATGCTCATTCGTCTCAGACTGCATGTGGCTTTAATTTGAGTTTCAGTATAGATTGTGTGTTTGGGGCACAAGCTTCACACACAGGCTTTGTTCTCCGGGGACAAACACTGTCTACTTGGCTTTGTGTTGATTGGCCTGGTTACTCATGGAGTCTAGCCATAAGCACTTTTCTGCTCCAGTACTTGTGCATGGCTGGATGACCAGACTAACTAGTGCCAATTAAAGCCTAGCACACAAACACACATAGACATGCACCTTTTTAATATGCAGTTTTAACTACAAAAGTCCCGAAATATCTTACAGATTACTGTGCTCAAATTCACATCTTCCAGATGTCTTAATATAGCCATGTGTGCAACTCCCTCATCACATGACATCTAGTCAAACACCTATCCCTGCTCCCAGTCACCTGATTACTAATAACACTCGTCTTTTTGCGATAACACTACTCCCTTTAAATAACACAGACTCTCAGTATTATGGCGCAAAATCTCGCTCCAGCATTGTGTCTGTGACGATTTCAAACCTTTCGTTAACTACCTGATGTGATTAGTGTTTTGACCATAGACTGCTTCTTATTACTGATTTGCTCTTGTCTAGTTTATGCTGATCCCCTGACCATTAGCCTGATGCATTGAAACCTTACATTTAGCATGGAATTGGTTTAACCTGCATGGTAGCATGGAATTGGTTTAACCTGCTGATCCAGTCACATGTGAAAGCTTTTAAAACACATTTCCTCCAGCTGAGTGGAGATTTGGGTCAGTCTGTGGTGTTAAATAGCTTGATATTCCCTCAGCAATGTGTCAGTAAAAAGGCCAGAGAAAAGCATTTTATTACAGCACACTAGGCGGGGTTCGAAATAAATCTACTGCCAAACCATTTACCATTAGGCAGCAAAGCTACAACTTTTGACAGAAACACTAATGTTTCAACTGAACTTATGAAACAAGCTATACATTAAGTTCCATTGGAAGATCCTGGACACTGGAAAATTAGTGAATATAACCAATTATACTATGCAACTGCTTGTAAAAACATCTAAAATATTTATTTGTGGGCTTAGTTGTATCTGACGGTCAGATTTAACAATTGTACATTTATGATTAGCTTTTACTTCTGATTAGACTGATTGATTCTTAATGCATTCTTGATTTCTCGAGTAGTGGTTCTCAAAGTGGGGTCTGGTATCATGGAGTCCATGATATTTTAATTTAGTTATAGCGTTGGAACTCAAAACCCATCATTGTCAAAGTTGTATTATTTATTATTGAACAATTCAAGCTTATAGACCTTGTTCTATAAGTTCTTGTAGTTATAAACCTATTTTATTGGCCACTTGAGTTGAACAGATCCCTGGTGGTCTAGCAGCTAAGGATCCTGCATGCTCTCTGCTGCAGCCCAGGTTTGATTCCTGGCCAGGGAACCAACCCAGCCACTGGGAGTGTACTCTCAGTGCCGGTCCCAAGCCCAGATAAAATAGGAGGGTTGCGTCAGGAAGGGCATCCAGCATAAAACCTGCGCCAAATCAAACATGCAGCCCAATGATCCACTGTGTCAACCCCTAATGGGAGCAGCCGAAAGAACAACAACAACGATTTGAATTGAACAGGTTTTAGTCCAAGCCTAATTAACTCTATAAATAACCTGGAGCTAGTGTCTTCTGTTGGGTCAGGAATAGAAAGCTCTGTGGAGCTAACAAATATGGAAAAAATGTTATTGCACACACTTAAATAATGTTCATGAAAAAATCTGGACTGAGGGGGAATTTATTTTACGCTTAAAGGGGCATGTTGCTACAAAAAGTCTGAGAACTCTTGGTTTAGAAATAATGTTTTGTGCTTTGTGCACTGCAAAGTTGGAGCGACTCTGCAGATTAGGGTCAAGTTTGAAAACCTCCAGACATAGTTTATTCAGAGGCAGTGTTGCAAAAATGTAGCTTAATTTATGACAAAAGAACAAGTAGTAGCTCCCAGGCAAAATTTCCTGGCTATCTGGTAGTCATGTTTGCATGCTGATTTGTCACCATGAAATAGTTTTTCTCTCAGGTTCATGGTAAAAGTTTTGTTGAGTAACTTTCACTCATACCTGTACAAAGTGTTTCAGTTCCAGCTTTGTCTCGTACCATGGCTTATCTCACTGTTTGTGCTTTGAAAGTTCACTCAGGATAACTCTAGATAAAGCAGCACAGTTCTTTCTACATGAAAACAATGGCTTTCCTGGTACAAGTGATTTTGATGCTCATCTTCTTTAGGCAACCTAAATGGCTCAGGAAACCTTGTGGTTTAGTCTGAATAAAGAAGCTGTTCCTGTTCCTCAATCGGCACATCTTTTGTATCTTTAATATGTATCTTTAATATGTATATTCCCTGGAAACATGGACCATAAGTCATTTTTAGAGCAAGGCTTTAAAGTTTCACTATATATTATATATTCACTATATATAGCCATACTAAAAGTACAAAACATGTACTAGCAACAAGGAAAGGTACCGTTTAGTACCCTTTTTTCTCATAGTGTACAGCAATCTTACATCTAATTTACATGCAGGCATCAGATCTGATCTCACCTTTATTGAAAGCCATGCCTCCTGCCTTTACGTTTGTAATATGTAGCTGCTGCGTGCCATCGTCATCCACCACAACTACAGAAAACCCTATGGAGGAGACACAACGAAAAGAGAAATTGATTCCAATTGATAAATAGACTCTGATACATTACATTCAATAATACAATTACTGTATTTAATAAATGAGACAGCAGTGTGAATAAAAGTCTTACCATATCCAATGGCACAGGATTCATTTCTGTCAAACTGGATAACTTTGGTAATTTTGGTACAAATTTCAATCTCTTTGTAGAGCTGAAAGAAAAAGGACAGAATTGTAAGTAAGAGAGTATAAAAAAAATTATAATGATCTGGATTTCTGTGTGAACAGAAAATCAAGAGCAAATTGTTTCCTCAGGCAAGCCAAAAATCAATTAAAAAACGACCGCTAATAGCTTTACAGAAATGGATAAATGATAAAACAGAGAGACACAAAGAAATGTTTAAAAGACTTACTATATTGGGTCCATTTCTCCCATATAATAACTGATAGTACTATTCCTCATTTGCATTATAATAAACATAAACAATATTTGCTTAAAGACCCAAAAACCCTTCACCTGCAGGTGTGTGTGTGTGTGTGTGTGTGCATGGGTGTGAATCCAAATATTATTTTGCCATGTTATTCCAAGGTTAACATGACCTGCACATCTCTTGTGGGCAAATATGCTTTCATATTTATTAAGGTCAAACTGTTAGTGTTTAAAAAATCATTTCAATATTTTTCCACCTTTGAAATGTTATTGTGAACAATCAATCCTGAATCAGGAATTCTGAACCCAACACAGTGCCACACTGAGCTCTGTGTTCTCTATCAGAAAATCATGGAAATTGTTTGCATCAACATGTTTTCTTTTGAGCCAATTCTTCGAAGATACTAGGGCTTCTATCAATATCAATATAACACCAATATTCAATCCATGATTAATGATGTAACTACAACTCACCAGGTCCCAGAGTTCCTCCTCAGGCTTAGGGACATAAAATTGCACTTGATTGTCGATTAGAAACTTCAGCCGGAGATAGTGCTTGGGCCGATCCAGACTGTGGGCCTTGGCAGAGAACAGAAGAAAGAAATACATGATTAGCATCCACATCATGACTGATGAGGTCAAACATGGTGGAGCAAAACTGATGGAGCAAAAGATACCATGAAACACTGACTAAGAACCACTCTGGGTAAAGCTTTAAAGTCATATCCATGGAGCATTGAGTACCTCACCTTTTACATTATGAACATTTCGAAGCAATCATTAGGGTGAGAAAAGTGCTACATAAAGATCACCACTCAGAACCACTTGAACTTGATCTAAACAACATTGCTCCTTTCCAAGTGCCCTAGCTATGATTAAATGCTAGAAGCCATTTCTTCCTCCCAATAAGGTAGTTATATATCCAAATGGCTGGCCCTTTGTGTCATAAACCCATTACTTATTAAAACATGAAAAAAAATCTCACTCCATAAAGTGAAAATATACATTTTTCATGATGGAACACAAAACATTAAGTGCCTCATACTGTATTCCATTACGTTATTTGACAGAAAGCCTGAAATAGGTCTGAATACCAACATCACAATATAACTTATTTAAAATTCTATTTCCATAGCCGCTGCTCATTTTTTAAAGATGTGATGTGCGTTTGTATATGCACACAGACTAAATGGGAAAATTCAAGTTCTCTTAGCAGCATTTACTATACATATTAAACGTGCAATCAAACATTCAGCACATTATCAGTATACAGGATGATGGTAAGTATTGATTATTGTGCACCTTCACATTGTATTCTGGTTCAGTTTCAAGCTCTCTTTTTCAAGATATCATCCTGCATTCCTTTCTATTACCTCAATCCCTCCCACCCCTCACATGCTTTACCTAGTTGCAGGGCTAGCTTTTTCAAAAGCTAAAGTATATGCTGTTTTAACTCATTGTTCAGGGTCAGGTTCACTGATTCCTGGCTTACTGTCACCTCCAAGTAAAATAATAAAGAGAAGCACAGTAAAAATTCCCAATGTTACCAGACAGGAATTTGCCTTCCGTTAATTACACCAATCCAGGCCAGATAATTGAGATTACTCTCTATTTTCATGCTTAAGTGACAACAGCACTGAGGAATTAAGAGTTTATTCCTGGCTTGGGCACATGTACTGGAATCTAAGATTTGGCCTCTTTATGGTAATTACAGGTCATAGAGTTTGGAGCCTGTTTTCCAAAAGCAACCCAGTGGAAATATGTCTAGAAGAGTGTAGAGTGAGTAAGACCTGAAACACTCATTGTAACCGGTACAATGATATTTACACTGTGTTGCTTTTGGGAAACTGGACTGCAGTCTGGCATATAGCCTATAATATAACAAACTATTGGATAGTACTTACCTTGATATTTACTTAAATACTCATTAAGATCGGAAAATGAGGTATTTACACTGATTGATGCATTAGACCTATGCTGACTAAATTTTGCTCTGAGATATATTATCCATAATTAATAGAGGTTTTTCCAGTAATACACACATGGCAGATATATAC